CAATTCCAATCATGAGATAAAAAGTCGCAATTACCTTTTTTATTATATATTTTTTTTATCCTGTGCCGGAAATGAGCTTCCAGATTTATAAACCACTTTTATGAGGCAAAATAATAATAAAAGTCTCTATTTATTGTCATTTCACAGAAAAGAGCAACTCTTTAAAAAAAGTCATACTAATTTAGAACATTATGACGGTGAACAAATAATGACTGAATTGTAATTTTTGGGTAAATTTGTAATTTTGTTTGAATTTATTCAAGGTCTACTCTCAATTCAATGAAAAGAGTCTAGAATAAAAGAAGAATAGACAGAAAATAAGGTTTAATGAGAAAGTGACAACAGAAATCCGAACTAAATGCCACGTCATCTCAGTTAGCTTCCAGTTTTAAGCAAAAAAAAATAAAAAATAATAAAACACTTCTTGACTGAAAAGGTGAGACCTTTTGTAAGTAATGCCAGGTCACGAAATGAAAAGCAACACAGGAGAGCAGAAAGCCACCTAATTTGTGACGCCCCAAAAGGGACCGGTTTTATCTGCCGTGATTTTGCGTGTCTCTGCAGCTACGACGCTCATTAAAATCAGAAGAGGATGAGGGGGCATGAGAGATTGACAAGCAGAACAGATTTCTCCCTTTCATCTGCGTTAGCATTTGCCAAATTCAATTGAAGGAGGAAAATGGCATGAAAAATTGCAAAATCGCTGAACACAAACAGGGATTCAGTCGTAGGCTGCTTAATTAGGTCCTCGGGGAAACATTCCGGCTACAAAATCCAGGATTTTGGGGTGTTTATTACAAGATGTTGAGACTCCAGAATATTAAGTAAAAGGGTTTGATAAGGGTGAGAAAAAAAGAAAGAGTGGGTGGATGAGGAACACAACAGCTGCTTGTCAGTCAGGGTTTTGGCACGATTGTGTCAGTGGAGATGAACGTTTCTAATTAGGGAGAAATAGTTCAGCCGGGTTTAGTGAAAGAGAAAAAAGGGCAGAGTGAAAGAGAAAAAAGGCTTTACTGCCCTCTGGTGTTCAGTCAGCTGACCATTAGCAATGGATGAGAGAGCTGGAGGAAGCTCAGTTGCTGCCCACTCCAGCTGCTGAAGTAGTTGCTCCAGTGCTGCTCAGTGCTGATTTGCCTTTGTGCCGTTGGCCGCCACGCCGTCGACCACTTCCACCAGACTTCAACTGAAAGAGACGATAAAAAACGGTTTTGTTTTTTTTCGATTAAAAACAGGGATAAAAAAATGATTTTGGATCCTCGCTAAAGTAATTTTTTAATTTGACCCCAAGTAAAAAAATAAAAATGAAAAAAGGCAGCTGTCACAATGTCCATTCGAAAGATGTTAGTTGTGTTTTTATCAGTTTTTGTTAAAATCGTGTCATTTCCATGAGTAGGAGAGAAACGCATAACAGATAAAATAAATGTAAAAAGTAAATAAACAGATTTTTTTCATTGTCATTTTCACTTTTAAATAAATGTAAGTCTAAGTGTCATTTGTTTTACTAATATTGTGTCAAAAGCACATAAAAAATTGTGATTGAAATTCATTTTAAAAACTCATACAAATCAAAATCAAATACAAATCTCACTAAAAATACTGTTGTTTGAAAAGTTTTTTCCTCAACAAAATTGTGCTGTTGTAACAAATTGTAAATGAAAGCAGTTTGCATAGTTATAAAAAAATAGATAAATACTATTTTTTTTTTTGTAATTTTCTCCTCAGCAAAATAAATGAAACTTGTCCTTTCATTTTAAGAATTTATTTTACTATTTTATTTAAAGGGGTCATATGACGTTGCTAAAAAGAACATTATACTGGTTCAGGAAACAGTCCTCATCCTCCATAAAATGCGCTGCACACATCTGAATATTTGGGTTGAACTGTTCTGGAACAGTGTTGTAAATACAACTTAACCACTGATTTCTAGTCGTGTCCTCTTTTGGAAGACCCAACAAAGTAGTTTCGCTTTCACAACGAAACACACAGCGACTCCACGACATGGCAGTGGCGGAAAGATATTATTAATTCAACTGAAAGATATTATGAACCAAATATATTTAATATTATAACATTTTATTGTATTATTTTCTTTCCAGAAATGGAAACTTTTGAATAACAGTAAAAGTAAAATACAACAATTAAATAAATAAATACTGAATTATTCTTATTTTTATTATGTATTTATTTATTTCTCTCTTATTTTTTGTAATTTTCTCTTTATCAAAAGAAATGAAACTTGGACTCAAATTCTGAAAATGTAATACAATTATCTTTTATGTTTATCAGCTAAAGCTTTTTTTTTTATAATTTTGGTAGATATCTTTTTTTTTTTGTCAATCTTTTAGTTAATGGCAATTTAAAACATAACTGAATGAGTAAATTTCAATAGATTCTGTTTGTAAACCTGTAATTTAACATCTCAATAATGGTTAATAAGGACAGCTTTACTATTTGAACACTACTTACAAAGAAATAAAACCCAGAATTTGGTCTGCAGTGACCATTAATGGAAAAATTAATTAACCGTTAAGTCTAAATGAAAGAGTCATGTGCTTTTCAGAAGTGATTTGTCTCATTCAAATACTGTTCAGGAAATAAATCAGCCTAATTCATTACATTAAGACTCGAATGTCTTTTATAATCATGAAAGTAATGCTCTTAATACCTCTGCGATTTACACTACAGCAAATTAAAATTTTAAGAAGCTTAAAGAGTCTGACCTTAATGTGCTTTAAACCATTTTACCTTCACTTCACGCTGCTTTCTCATGCTTTTTTTAACTTTATTCTCTTTGTTTCGATCTGTACAAAGTGTCTCCTCGCACCCTGCTGTCTACCGCACTGAGCCACGGACAGGAGAGAAGAGAAAAGGCCGTTTTTGGTGTATTGTGGGTGAAAAGGGTCGAGAAATTTCAAGGGCTGCAAGTGTCCGTGAACGTTTGGAGATGAATATTATATGCAGTATAAGTGCACTCACTATAAGTGGAAAAAGAGTATATAAGGAACAATATGGAACAAAGTGAGAGAAAATGATTTAATACCAAGCATAATACAAACATTATAACATGATTATTAATCTGTGTGTGTGTGTGTGTATATATATATA